GGTAGTTACCTTGCTGTCTATGGGAGGGTCAGAGAGTCCTCAGATTTCATCAAAAATATCTTAAATTGTGTTCCAAAGATGAACGAATGTCTTACGGGTTTGGAACAACACAATGGTGAGTAATTAATGACAGAATTTGAATTTTTGGGTGAACTAACCCTTTAATGTATTTATCAAATAAATGCATCACTTTGTGAGCATAAGAGACCTTTTTCAAAACCATTAACAAATCTTACAGACCCCAAACCTTTGAATGGTAATATATATATATATATATATATATATATATATATATATATATATAAATGAGAAAAAAATCTTGTGTAACATTTCATCTTGTCTTACTCCAGCACAACTACTTGCTAGCCTGGTTCACACAAGAGCAGGTATTACTAATGCCATTGTCACCATGGGTGCTGTAGAGCATCTTTCTGCTCATCTGGACTCAGAGGATGAAGAGGTTGATTGTGTTTAATTGGCTAATGCAATGTTTCCCAGTCAACAAAAATAAGTGCTTAAAACAGTATTTCTAGGATTTTTGAAACTATTATTCCTTCCTACATTTTAGGTTCGAACAGCTTGTGCAAGTGCTCTGGGTTACCTGACCTCCAATCGATATGCTCATCGACAGCTTCTGGCCAAATGTAGAAAATCCCCTCACATATATGACCTCCTAATGGAGAATTTAGCTAAAGATGCCAGAATATCGCAATTCTTTACAGAAGAGTTTGAAAGACAGAGAAGAATAGGGTTGCCGTCTCTCAGGTGCTTTAAATTTAGTCAGGAAGAATATGAGGCCTTTGATAATTCACAAGCATAATTTGTTTTCTTTCTGTTTTCTCCATTGCAGTTTGGAGATAAATGGCGGCCCTCCTGTGCCTCATCGTGATAATAAAGGTATTTCAATTGATTTATGACAGAGTGATATTGTGATCCTGGCTAAAGCAATGAGGAATATCTCTCACATACAGCTGTTTGCGCTATATCATTTCTTACCAGGACTGGCAAAGAGAGTGAATGATAGGTGTAGTCAGTCAGCAATCGGTGACAGAGAAACACCAGCTCCTTTGCCACACCATGTAAGACAGAGGGCCAGAACCGCCAACTCCAGAGTCAGAACGTCCTGCCACAGTGCCCCAAAACAGAGGTTGAATGAAAATACATGAAAGGTCATGATCTCCGGCACTGCCGTTCACACCAAAAGGCGATTGAAAAGAAATAACATCATACACTTTGAATTAAAGCATTTACAAAACACAAACATTTACATTTCTTTAAATAAATAATCATTTATTAATAAGTAGGAGATGCCCTTTTAACAGCATGTCAAGAGTTTATCCTCAGTTTTAATGGGGGAAGTTTGATTGTAGCGTCTTTCACTTCTGAAGTGATGTCTAATCCAAGTGGTGCCCTAAAATGAATGAAAAATGTCATGACATCAAAACAGACTCCTATCATATACAATCAGTGCTGGGTAGATTACTTACAAACTGTCTGTTACTGATCACAAATTATATGATGAAAATTTGAAATGTAATCTATTAGATTACACATTTCTGGTAATCTAATCTAAACTTTTTGATGACTTTTGACCTAAGATTTGAATAGGATTATTTTGTACCTCACTGTCAAAAATATAAAGAGAAACAACACATATTCCATTCTTTGTTATCAACAACAAGACGTGCATTAAACATCACATTACATCAGAGTTTCCTAAAGTGGGGTTTTTGAGTTGATGGAAAGCTAATAATTAAATCTTAAAAATGTCAACTAAAAATAAATAAATACATGATTTTAAAATATAAACGTTACAAAAACACTCACTTAAAATATATATTTAATTTGATGAAAGATTACAAAGACAAACTTTTTTTTAAACTTAGAAATGACATTAACCGATAAATTGTGCACAATAAGACCAGAAACATGCATTGAAAATGTAAATAAGTCCAATTTATTTACTTGCAAAGTAAATGTCATTTTAACTTACTTTGGTTCATAGTTGACCTCTTCGGTATAGGACATGATCCCCTTTCTTTGCTTTAGTCTCTCTATGCCATTCCTAACAACAATAGTGAGAAACAAAAGTCAGTGGCTTATACATGTCAACAAGGCTGTAAGGCAATATGCACCATTTTTATGCTCTTACCATGCAATCATCACTCCATTATCAGTGCAAAATTTTGTCGGAGGGCAAAGCAGATGCAATCCAGTGGCATCTGTGACAATTTTCAGAGTCTGTCTGATGTATTCATTACTTGCTACTCCTCCGGAAACAACCTACAAAGGTGCAAAAGTGGAAGAGTAGATTTTTGGTGGAATTTTTACCAAATGTCAATTCACCACAGGCATTTATTGGTTGAAGTTTTTAAATATTGCAAAATGATTAAGCCGAGTTAATTTAAAAATGAAATGCCACAACCAGGTCCTGGAGTGCGGAGAACTTACCAGGGTTGGATTATGCTGTGGTAGAAGACCTTTGGATTTACAGAACAAAATGGCACGATGTGTTCGTTTGGCTATGTGGGACGCCACAGTGTGTTGTGAGGCAGCAGCGATGTCTTTAACACATGATAATAAATGTCCTTTTTCAACACCTGTGGAAACATAACATATACGGTAATATAATAACTGATTAGGACTGTACACACACAATATATATATAGCCTTATTAGACTATTGCATTCCTATTCCAATTAATTGGTGTGAGCATGTTAATGCCAATTAATAGTCAAGTCTCCTGTGTACTTCAAATGAGAAGAGATATTTGCATCACATGCAGAGTTGCTGCCTGTTTACTGTTTTTTCAAATCAGTCACTTATAAGCTGCCATTTCAGTCCAGATGCTGCCTAAAAGGGCAGATGTCTATGTAGGCAGATCAAAAGCTTTTTGAAAAGAACCCGTTTCTTTTATTTTAAAGGAATAGATAAAGTACCTTCTTCTCTTTCTTTTTTGTTTATTGCCATTGTCACCTGGTTTCGCAAACCAGCAAAAGAGAAATTGCAGTCGTAGAGCTGCCCCATGGGTGCCTTGAAATGAAATGCGAGTCGATCCCCCTCTTTCGCCAAAAGCTCTATGGCTTGTCCACCGCTCAAAGTCGAGCACTCTGGGTGATTCCTAAGAGAAAGTCTTCTAGCAATCTGTCATTGAAAGGAAAGATAAAGAGTTTATATTATAAACATCCTACTGCTTTCCTTGTATTTGAAACGGATGTGATATCCTGACACTGTACCTTATCTAAAGTGTCCCCGGCTGCTACATCCAGTGTTTGCCCCAGAAGAAGAAATTCATCTATTCCTTTGGCCAGTGCAAGAAGAGAATGACCCCCCGAGACAAGGAGCACGAGAAAAGGGAAGTCTACGGGGTGTAGCATTTTTACAGTGAGGGCATGTGCCTCCATATGGTGTATAGGGATGAACGGCTTTTCGTGAAGTCTCACAAACTTCAGACTGAAATCCAAGCCGACCCCTAAGCTAAGGGCGAGACCAGGCTTCACTGTTGTGGCCACAGCTGTGAGTTCACTGGGTTCAATGCCGCTTCTGTCCAAAGCCTCCTGGACAACTCTAGAGATGTTTTCTCTGTGTAGGCGTTGGGCCACAGTTGGGATAATTCCACCCGTACTGTAAGAGAACAAATGAAATTAAATGCACCATAATTCAGCAGTCATTTTTTATCCTTACCTTATGTATATAAAACTGTATATTTTGAATCACCTTTTTGCTATTTTTGGAATTTGCATACATAGTCCTGACCTGAAAATGACCTACATTTATGAAAACAAAACAGAAAGTTACAAAAACGTACTAAAATTTTGATTTGGATGAGAGAATTCACAAACAAATATTCTAATTTAGTAGTTTAGGTATATCAAATCAACATACTAATCCATTACTAGCACTACTAACTAAAAGCCTGCCGACTTCCAGTGTGAAAATTAAAAGGTGTTTCTTCTCACAAACAAGTAAAATGATATAGAAGTAAAATAACAGCAGAATATCCAAGCTGTTTTTTCCCCTATACAATGACAGTGAATAGTTACTACAGCTGTTATTTTCAGTGAATAATGACTTGACTTATCTGTTTCTTAAAGCTACTGTATAGCTTAAGATGCGAAGTCAGTGTTGTTTTTGTTAAATAAAAACGAAGCCTATTAAAAATTGTGGTTTGTGGATTAAAACAAGATTGACATAAAATATAAATATTAGATGAAAAACGTAAATAAAAATTACAAATGCTGCCTTGCCAATTAAGCGAAATAAAATGTTAAAGTACTAAAATTACTTAAACTAACATTGAATAAAAATAAATAAAAAAACATGTAAATACTTTTAAAAATTAATAAAAATGAGTTAACAAATGAAAAAAATAAAAAAAGCTTTAAATTCACAAGTCACATATACAACTCATGATTTTTTTTCGGAAACACTGTGATGGTAAATAAATGACCACAGAATGGCCTTTTGAGAGATCTGTTCCTTTAGGATCATGAAAATATGTGATTAGTATGTGATTACTCTATGCATCAACTGAGGACATTTCTGAAGTCAGTGGCTATTCTTACTCCAGGTGTGTCTTTTTCTGAGAATGCAGAGATTCTCCCCGAATCACCCCAGTCTCGTCCAGCACAGCCGCCCCGGTCTCGTCGCAGCTCGTCTCAATCCCCAAAACGAACCGAGAGCGCGGTGTACTGAAGGCTCTTGGGGACGTGCAGTGCTTCATCCAGAAGCGAGCAGCTCCATTCAGAGCGCACGGGAACATGCTGATAAACACTGACGCTTCACTGTCGATTCCACTGGATTATCACTGATTTAACTCGACGGTCATCTGAAAGGATACATACGCTTCACCAATTCAAGCGACTCGAAAACACTGCTAACACTGCACTTGTATTTTCTTGTAAAACTTCATTTATGACCCTGTATGATCAAGGCGTTACTTATAAATACACCCTACTCACAACATACGTAAAGTTGGGTTCCGTTAGACTTTCTTTAAGATGAAAGTGATAAATAGTATTATAGAAAAATAGCTGTCTATACCCATTTGATGAATAAATAAGTATGCTAATAATAATATCAGCGCTAAACGACGGTCTAAAATAAAGAGCAAAACGGAACCATTAGCGTTTGCGCTTGTTTCCAATGGGATAATAATACAGGAGGGATCAAGACTCACATGGGAGCGATGTTTTACACAGGATTAATTCTTCACACTTGGCTGCTATAAAGAAGGTTGTTGGACAATTTCTAACTTATTTGATAATTAAAGTCCATTGTTTCCTCCAAATAAGGTAAAGGTCTATCAGCTGCACGTGTATTTATAAATTTAAATTCATTCATTCATTCTGTGTTTTAAATATTAAAAATATATATAGGCTCTTAAAAATATTATTTTGGGGGGGAGAGAAAAGACAAACATCTCGCCTGGTCAAAGAGCTTTCCCTGATCTACCCTTTACCCGATCTGCAGCACATAAAAAGAGTGAGGGCTTGCAAAGACAAAAGCACTTCTCATCCATTGGAGGTCATTGTGTGCTTGGCCAGGGATGTGCAGGTGATAGACTGCAAAGGAGTTACGCTTGCTGATCTGCTTTGCTCACAGTCTTTTGACTCCAGTGGTTTGGGAGAACCTTTCCTTGTCAAAATACCCGCCAATCCTCCACTAACCAGACCGCAGTTTGAAAAAGCTAGTAAACACTGGCCTACGTCATTTCACGAGGACAAACAAGTGACGTCTGCTCTGAGAGGCCAGTTATTCACTACTGATCAGAAAGCTAAAATGCAAAAGTACATGACGGCAGCTGTAGAGGCTGCAAAATCAGGCGGGAAGATGGGAATGGATGCGGTGGGCGCAGTGATTGTTGACCCAGAATCGGAGCAGATTGTTGCAGTGGGTCATGACTGTAAGCACGGCTCTCATCCGCTCCATCATGCTGTCATGATCTGTATTGATCTTGTGGCCTGTGGGCAAGGAGGAGGCGCCTACAGTTACGAGAAATATCCAGCCTGTCGGTTTAGCAGCTCCGAGTGCTTTAGGAATGCTTGCAATGCCAAAGAATCCGGTCTGCCTTACATCTGCACCGGATATGATCTTTACGTCACTCGAGAGCCGTGCGTGATGTGTGCAATGGCTTTGGTGCACTCAAGAATCAACAGAGTGTTTTATGGAGCACCCTCTGCAGATGGTGCCTTGGGAACCAAGTATAAAATTCACTGCCAAAAAGATTTAAATCATCACTTTGAAGTGTTTAAAGGTGTGATGCTAAATGCATGTGAGGCTTTACACAAAAAGTGAATAATTAGAGGCAATATTACATTGACATTTATGACATTTTAATTGTTTTTACATTTCTAACTACAGCAAATGTTTTTTTAAGCCCATAATAAAAAGTATTAAAATTAGTTGTCTACCTTTAAATTTCATATTCGATTTATCAGACCATCAAATCTTATATGACACATTGATCCGCACAACAGTTTCCAACATTGAGAGTAAGAAATGTTTGATAAGCACCACATCTGCATATCTGAATGATTTTTGAAGAATCATGTGACACTGATAAACTGGAGTAATGATGCTTACATTTCAGCTTTGACATCACAGGAATAAATTACATTTAAAAATATAATAAAATGGAAAGCAGTTATTTTAATATATACAAATATTTCAAAATGTTACAGTATTTTTGTTTAAATAAATCCAGCCTTTGTGAGCAAAGAAACTTTCTTAATATTTAAGAAATCTTTCCAACCTCAACTTTTTGAACAGTGGTGTTTATGATTGTACGAGTTTATATTTCACACAATTTATTTTTCTAGTGAACAACAGCGTTTCTAATACTTTGCAGTTTTCTTTGTTTGCAGCATGTCATGCAACACACCACATACTATGTTCATTCCTTTTCTCAAAACAAAAGGACAAAACAATTGGCACAGTCGAGCCTTCGTGAATATTGTCAAAAGACAAGAAAGTGGAAGAATACAAATAGTTTAATGGGTCTATGTTACAGTTTCTCAACTTCAATAATACTGTGACAGAAAAGAGCAAAGAAACATGATGGTTTGCTGAAGCTTGGTAATGATCCAGACATTTAAAATGACACTGAAATTGAGCTAAAAGTCAACTTGAAATATTCTGATTCAAACAGAAGATGAAAAAATGTAGGGAAGAACTTGATGTTTTGTTTCAGGGCAGAGAAAGCAGTTCAAAATCTTTTAAGGAAATGTTCTTTGAAATAATGTACACCGATAAAATGTGCAAAATGAGACCAGAAATATGTATTAAATTAAGAAAGTTCTATTTTTGATTTCATGTCGACTCAGTACTTAAAAGCCTAAAAGTTTTGTTAATGTTAATATTTTTCATTGTCACTTATAAGCTGTAAGACATTAACTAAACAGAACTACACATAGTATTGTGACGAACAAATATTTTTCAGGTAATCATGCAAACTGACGTTTTATTTGTCTCTGAAGCAATGATAACATTAACGAAACAGCAGAAAGGTTTCATGGCTTTTAAATGATTTTAAAAACACATTTGGTCAATTCATGGAATTATCTATGAATGTATTCAGAAATGTGAAGTGACGCTAAAAGCATAAAACTATCTTAGTGTATCAGTGTTGTGAGCACATTTGAACAAACAAGAACTAATTAACGGAAAAAGAAATTAACCATGAAACCTGGGCCAGCCCAGATCCACGAGGATCACAAAACAACTAACGAAAACACATTAAATATCTTAAGTTATTAATGCTTGTGGAATTGTCCTCCTAACTTGTCCCTACAACAATTTCTCAAGATATATCAAACAAAGAGACTCACAATTACACAGACTGTACAAAACTGCTAAGTGTACACAACTGCGGTACAAAGTACAAAGGGTTATCTCCTCTCCCACATCAGGCAACAGCTCCGAGTTGGTCTGTGCCCTCTGAACACTGGGCTTAATACTTGTTTATT